CGGCGGCGACATTCCTGCCGGGAAAGGACAGGAACAGAGCAATGGTTGATTGACACCAGCGTGGAGGCAACCCCAAACCCATGGGAATGAACAGCCTGAGTGACAACAGTTTATTGCTAAGTGCTGGCTGCACCTCAGCCAGTCGGGCTGGAACCCATTAGCTGATTGCAATTGACTCTGTCAGGCTGAAGAGGACTGGGGTGAGAGGAAGATCCCTGGACCCAAACCAGTCACAGTTGTTCAGGTTCATGCACAGACACTGGCTTGAAATGGCAACAGACAGAGCAGCTTCAGTGGTTTACAGAACCCATCGGGATTGCTCTCCCACGCCTCCCGGGCTGCAGGCACTGATCCCAGGAAAAGCACCCTCTGCTCTATTTGTAAGTGCTCCAACTTCAGGAAGAAGGTAACAGATCATATAACAAGACTAATCAGAGGGCACTTGAGATATTATAAAAGCAAACACCTATTTAATGGGAAAAGCAGCAGAAAAACTGGTTACGCAGGAAGTACTCCATCTTCAGTGCACAGGAAGGCAGGAAATATCCTTCACACCCCAAAGAGCCACGACCTGGCAGGGGGTAGAGATCAACAACTCAAGCGGTGTAATGTTTAAATTCAAGACCAAAATGTGGAAGGTTTGAAATGTCCCCTCTTTTCTGCCTCACCCTGAAGGAACCGAGACACCCTGGAAAGGGATTTCAGGCCAATCTAGCGAGCGAGCTGCTCCTCTGGAGCTGCCAGGAAGCAGGAATTCACAAGAGCCTGTGAGCTCCCAGGCACTTGGCAAACGTTCTGGGCTTCCAGGCAGGCTGCCAGGGAGCCAGGAAGCCCGGGCTGCCAAGGAGCCAGCAGGCAAACTGGCTCGAGCGGCGCGGATCCGGCAGGCTGCCGCCCTGCCTTGTTTCCAAACCCCACATGGCCCCACGGAACACGGCAGTGAACTGACAAGCTCAGAGGCACAAACGTGCTCCCAGACAGCGGCAGGTCTTGGTAACCTCACAGGAGGTTGGTTCCCCACCTCCTCTTGGGGCAGGCCTGGGCATTGCACCCAGCTCCTGAGAAAGGTCCCAAAGCCTTTGTGTTCTCCGCTAAAGAGCTGGAAGATAAGAGAGGTGAGGAGGGTTTGGAAAAATCAGTTTTAAAAGCCCCAAACACTGACTATGCCAATGACTAAACTATGGGATGGTCTCCAAAGAGGCACAGGAAAATCATCAGTGAGTGTAGCTTTTTCATTTGTTGTGTCTTTGATAGATGTGGCAATGTTTTCAAGGCAATTACACCCTTCCCAGGTTGGGTTTGAACATTTACTCTGCTAATTATGGGCATGGCAAGACATTCAGCAACCCAGCCTGGCCTGACTCCGTGCAAGTAGCTTGTTTCTTTTTACACACACAATAGCTCTGCCTCAGTATCTCTTTTGAACCCAGAACTCTTGGTAAAGGATGCTGAAAGCTGCTGCCTGGCTCCGTACTCAAACAGTTAAACCATCCTCTTGCTTCATTCCCAAGTACAACGGCTCAGTCAGAACCTGATGAGAATTATTTCCTCCTCCCAGCATATGAGAGTGTTTTTAAGTGGGTAAGGGAATCCTGCCTAACACAGGAAATCCACTTGTATTTTTGGATACAATGCCTCATTTCTAATCTGGGAATGATAGAACTGCCACTGACAATAACAATCCACAACCCTCAAGACCCAGTGAAATCCTTTAAGAAATCACAATCCCCAGTGGAGGCTATTTGCATGTAAAGTCCTGAAATTATCAGGACATCAGACTGAACATCACAGATTTCAATTGTAACACAGAGGCTCCTCGCTGGGAGCTCTGAGAGGTTATGGGGTGCCCTTGGCATTACTTCCCAAAGCCCCCCTGTCTTATGCAGCCTGAACATTCAGGGTATTTTCCAAACGTAAGCAGTCAAGCTTACAAAAACTAGCACACCTTGTGAAGGCTCCACATTACTCCTGTTTGCTCAGAAGAGGAAACTGGAGTCAAATGAAGCAAGTAATGTTCTCTCTCTAAAAGAATCCTCACATGGGAGGGGAAAGACAAACACCAAAAACATTCTAAATGAATGAAAACAAAAGGTCTACTCAAGATATTGCTGTAACACGAGGGCTGCTGGGGTTAAGGACAGTGAATTACAAGAGAGGCTGCTTTGGGTTCTAGTCTCTCCTCTAAGTCTTACGCATGAAACAGACAAAATCCAAACAGAAAAGCAGATTTGGGCACAAAGAACATGAGAAAAATGAAAGACAATTTGTAAGTCACATAATCAGCTTTTGCACTAACCTTAGAGCAGCTCCCAGCGCCTAAAGGGGCTACAAGAAACCTGGAGAGGGGCTTGTAGGGGCAGGACAAGGGGAAGGGCTTTAACCTGCCAGAGGGGAGATTGAGATGAGCTCTTGGGCAGAAGCTCTTCCCTGGGAGGGTGCTGAGGCGCTGGCACAGGGTGCCCAGAGAAGCTGTGGCTGCCCCATCTCTGGCAGTGTTCAAGGGCAGGTTGGACACAGGGGCTTGGAGCAACCTGCTCTAATGGAAGGTGTCCCTGCCCGTGGCAGGGGTTGGAACTGGAGGAGCTTTAAGGTCCTTTCCAGCCCAAACCATTCCATGATTCTATGATTAGGGACAATGTGTAGAAGTGCCCCCGAGTTCCGCTCTTACCCTGACTGGCCGTGCTGATGCCCAAGTGAGTCAGATTGGCAGCAAGATTTCCGGTGCTATTGGAGCTACTCAGGGCTGGGAATGTGGATTCCTCAGGATCTAACGGTGTTGGGAGAGGGGAAGGGAAATGGATGTTTGTCAGGTCTGGCAGGGAGCCACCTGTGTTATGCGTAGCAGGAATCAGTGTTGTAGTGTTTTCCTGGTCAGCTGATGGAAAGATGCTAAATAAGGGAGAGAAGAAAAGAAAACAGGTCTCTGATTACAGCTCAGCCTGGACAAATCTTGTACAATCTCTTTTGAAAAAGGAAGGTGCCATGTACAGAACTGTACATTGTACTCTTTGTTGTGTTAGCTATTGTATTGTATAGCCAGAGATTCACGATCCAAGGGGTCTCTCACAGAGGTTCTGGCTTGTCCTGCGTCTAGTGCACTTACACCATCTGAGAGCTTTTCAGAAAGCTCAGAAGCAGGAGGACATTCCATACACAACATCCTTCCTTAGAGATTTCAATGCTCTTTAAAAAAAGAAATTGCTCAAAACTTACTTGATTCCTGGAACTTCACATGATTTAGGTCTCGATGACCCAGTCTAAAATAGAAGGAAGACATGTTTAAAGGCAAAGATCCTGCTGGAAATCAATGCTAAGGATACACTCCAACTAAGAAGTTTTATCTAATACATTTGTACAGAAGAGCTCTGTGAAACTCTTGGAAGATACTTGTCACCTTTTTTGCTTTATTGGCCCAACAAGGCTCAAATTTAGAGTTTCTCCTCATATCATTGAACATGTGCACACACACATACATATAAAGTGCTTTTCTGAGCTAATGTTTAGTGATTTATTTCTAAATACAGCATTTAATCTCTAATCTCTGTAAGTACTTTGTTTTGATTGACAATATTTAGAGCATTCATTGAACTAAATACATTTAGAAAACAAAATGGGTACACTTTGGCATGTGAGATTCCTACCTTTTTAGTGTCCCATCCTTGCTTAGAGAGGGTTTTGTCTGCCTCAGAGGTGGTCTCCTCCATTCCAGGGACAGTCAGTAATAAAACTAAAAAATAAGACCAACAGGAATTGTATCATATTAAGCTTCTCAGTAAGAAACGTTCAGGTTGGAAGTTTAACTATTTGAAAACTCTGAAGTAACTTATTAGCAATGAATGTGAAACAGTGGCACTGTTGGGAGATCAGAACTGAAAACATGAACAGCAGAAGAGACTGAAGTTGTATTTAATCCGAAAGGAGACATCACAGGCTGCAAAATACAACAAAGCAAATAATACTTCAAAAATGTTGGCCTCCAATTTAGTCTCTAAGTGGAAGAGTGTATCTTGGGACCTAGTTTTTCCTGTCCTTTGCATTTTGCCAAGTGATGTACACCTGTGGCCAACAGGACAAATTCCAATGGGGAAAAATCTGGCCCATCCTCCCTAGGATACAGAAATGCTGTAAAGCTGTTCCTTCTCCATATTCCCAGAACATTGGTTTGTTCAGACAAACAACTGCTTCATCATGCTAAAAGCAAGGTGACACAGAAACAGCAAAAGAAAGCCCAGTCAGAGAGATGTATCACGAGGAGCCTTTAAGAGTGATGACTCTAACTCCATATTCACACAAGACTGTTTAAGGTGATCATTATTTAATGTTTTACAGCTCTGGAAGCACATGGAAGAGCTCATACGCACCTGAGTGTTGGGTGTTCACCCAGCTCTGGGTGACTGTTTAAGGATTAAATTTCGCTGGGCAGATTTAAGAGCTTTTCATGTTTTCCTTGTGCTGGCAGCAGGAACAAGGGCCAGCAGAGGGCACCCGAATTGTTAGTGCTGGAGGGTTGCGCTGCTCCAGCTCCTAACTCCAAATGGGACCAGAGTGCTGGCTGTAAGCATTGCCTCCGAGGGTGGATTCACCCATCCCAATCCCAGAATAACAACTAGATGAAGTCTTGTTACTTCATGATATTTACCCCGACCACGAAATGCCCGTGACCTCTACACTTGTCGAGAAGTTACTCCAAAGTGCAAACCTCTAGTACCACTGAGAGCAGCCTCACCACCCGGGTCCCACAGCTCAGGTTACTTATCCCTACAGGGCAAGGTCTTGGAATCACAGAATACAGGATTCAGGAAAATGTTCTGCCTTAGCTTTGAATGTCCTTTTCTGGATCTCAGTACCCAGAAGAGTACATGTGGTCCTCTTCTCTAATCTTGTGTAACTGAATCTAGGTGTTACGCGTACGTGTCTTGGCAGAAAGAGGTGAACAGCAATACGTGTGCATGTAACCTGAAGTACAATGCTTTGCAAGCTACAACTATTCCGTTTACCTCTTTTCTGCTGTATGTCCTGTGACCCTCCTGTGAAGGACTCTTGCTGGGCTGGAGTCATAGTGCTCTGGTGCAAGGCAGAATCGGAATTTGTCCTGCAAAGAAGGCCAGAAAAGTGAATTTTTCTTGTCTCTAGATAAAAGGAGGCTTCAATTCAGATAAATGTAACCAACGTAGTAAAACCTGAACACTCTGCATTAAAAAACCCCACTCTATACATGGCACACACCAAGCACAATTTCCTCGTGAAACCATCAATTCACAGAACAAATTCATTCAGGTTTGAAGAGCAATTGCTTCAACAATGGGATGGAGATTATCCACCACAGGATAAAGTGGTGGCTGTCGCTATGGAATTATTTGATAAGCTTTGTTAAGATAATGCACAATCAAATAATGCAATTTTGAAGTTGAAAACTGCTTAGAAATACTTTGGTTATACCAGGCTTTGAAAAGAAAACATCCCTGTTTCACAGGGAGGGGAAATGACTCAAACTCAAATGCTTGCAAGGACAGACTAACCCAGCTTCTGCACAGGGGAAAACACCCAGGTCTTTGACAGCTCAATTTTGGGGTATGCCCTGGAACACCCAGCAAGATTTGCCTTTGAGAAGATGCCATTAGCTGAAACACCTTCATTTGAAAGGCAGGGCATCTAAAGGATGCAGCATAATAGAAGAAAAAAACTAATTCTAAATCCGGGAAGGCAAATTCAGATGGGAAAGTGCTGTGGGGAACAAGCGAGGCTTCTGTTGGACGTGGAAGTGTTGTGGGATCAGAGAACACACACAATTGTGCTACCAACCTTCTCCAGCTTGTGTCTGAGGGAGGTGACAGATACACAGTGCCATACGGACAGCTGTCCACGTGACTCCAGCAGTTAAGGGAAGAACACCACTTGCTCACTCAAGGAGGAAGCCTATTTGAGATCTTTC